GAATCATCACTAATAACAAAATATAATTGAATTTGTTCCCCTGAATTATATGTAAGGTTATATAAGACTTACATTTGAAATGAATATTGCCGTCCAGGTGAAAGCATTCACACAAGAATTCAGAGAGCAGACCAGTTTTTTTCAGTAATGAAGCTCAGAGCAATTTCGCAGCTTGAATTGGTAAGAACCCATCTAACATTTCTGTTTCGAAGCTCCCCTGAACCAGTACATACAAATTCCATTATTTTCATGTATGTTATACCATGCTGAAAGAAATACTTCACAACATATATTTACACCACGCCCATGCGCCAAAACCCATTGACTAAACCAAAACTTCTGGTTCATGGTTCCAGAAACAACTCAATCTTAAACACCAATTTTCTTTTCTTTGGCCCCAAAGAAAAGGAAAATCTTAAACTCAGAGGCACTTCTACACCATGATTTAGCGACACCCAAATGAAAGAACTGCAATTACTACAGCACAACAAACCCCATTTTGCAAAATCAAATCCTAGAAATGTAGAACATCTAGTTTTAAGGCATCTCTGCACCATAATCTAGCAAACTCTCAATTGAAAAACACAAGTTGCAGTGTAATTTTCATCATTGAAGTTTCCACAATTCATAGGACACGGACAAGCACTCGCACTCCAGAGAACATTCACATTTTTAATGGGTTATGAGAAAAATACGGGACGTTGGGCAAACTGCCTTTAAAAAAACTAGACAGAGAGAGAGCGAGGAAAGTTGAAGCCACAGTTAATTTATAAAAATCTGGTTTAAAGGCCAAGTGAGCACGGACTCGAATTTATGTTTAAATAAAGATAAAGCAGCAAACGTATTTGCGAGCAACTGTACGTATACTCTCTTGGTCATCAAGTTATTATGGAGTTTTTTTTTAATCTCAAATTTGAGAGGTTAGGTGGTTATTTTCAAAAGAAAAAATTTGAATGGTGAGTTTGTTAACATTCACATTCTTCTAAAAATTTTACTTTCAAGCACCGGGATATGTTTCTACGTGGCCCCAACAAGTTAAATGTGACCCACTCCAATTGTTCATATCATAACGTCATGGTTTATTTTTATTTAAAAAATAAATGATCAAAATGCCCTTGTAATTTTTAGGGGTATTTTGATAATTTTTATCACTGAAAAATATTATTTTTATTTCTTTAGAATGTGCACCCTTGTCGAATCTATGCATATTTCAAATTTTTCTTTAAAATTATTTACAGAATAAAAATAAAAAAATAAAAAACTATCTACAAGTAAGAGCTAGATGGTAACATTGTGAATCAAGCCATCTCACTATCTACTCACTACAAAGACAAGGGGGTTCATATATATATATATATATATATATATATATATATATATATATATTACTACGTAGTAGTAGTAGTTACGTTACTTTAACGTTTTAAGTTTTAAGTTT